GACCGGGAGAAGATGAGGGACAGTGGGAGAGGGAGAAGAGAGAGAGAATTGATAAATTTTCTGCTGTCGCTGCTTTCGCTGCTGTCGCTGCTTTCGCTGCTGCCGCTGCAACTGAAGCACCGGGGCCGTTTGTCCCCGTGTCCGTTTGTCCGTTGCCCGCTCGGCCCCGCCCCGAGCCCCGCGCTCACCGGGCAGCCCCTGAGCCTGGCCAAACACGGGAACTTTGCCCTGCTGAGCCAAGAGCCAGAGTCTGGACTCCTGCACAGGGGCACAGCAATGCCCTTGGCTGCTGCTGTGCCTTGTCCCTGCTGAGGGTCAGACACTGTCTGAGCACATTCCCTGAATGCAGAATTTGTACCTGAGCCAAGCACTGCACTTGTGTCTCCAGCATTGCTTTCCAAGGAAAACAGGGCAAGGCAAACTGGGTATAGCTCATGGTATTTTACAGTGTCTAAAACTTGCCAAGTCTCAAATCTTAGAGGTGAGATCCATTTGGAATGAATGGGACGGAGAAAGTGCAAGATGGAAAAGGGGAACATAAAAATAAATAGAGAAAAATAGAGAAAAACATATTGGTTGTTTCTTTTGATTTTATTTTCATTTCTTAAAAAAGCTGTTTCACTTTTCCCAGAATCTTCTCCACAGTCCTGTCTGTTCTTTCCAAAAACCTGTCCTGGAGAGCAAGGCACAGCTCCTGTCACAAGATGTGCCCCCAGCTGCAGCTTCTCTTGGCTTCCCACACTGTGACTGCAGCACAACTCTTGCAGCAAAGCAGGACAAATATTTGAAGAACTTGACAACTTGTTCTTTCTTCTCCTTGCAGACAGGGTAAGGTTTGCATTGTTACTCTTCTACACAAAGAAAACATGATGAGATACCAGGAATTGTTGGGCAATACAAGCCTGGCTGAATGTGGAGAAAGAATCTCCAGAGCCTGCAATCAGCAGTGGAGAGATAATCATTCCAAATTCCCCTTGAACATCTTGAAAATGATCTGGAACATGAAGATGGGCTGACAGAGGGATTTTGTTTCTGTGTTCAGTTTAGATGATTCTACATCTCTTGCACTGGGATGAGATCAAGAGATCAAGAACACAATCAGTTGATGATAAGCACCAAATCATGATGAGCTGGACCTCTCAGTGGATGAGAGAAAGACTGTGAAAAGGAGAAATGCAGGGAATGACTTGGTGAACTTTAAGAAGGGTCATTTTTTCCTAATAATTCCCGATTCATTCCCTTTGCTTTTGTCCTTTTTAGCAAGGCTATTTGCATTGCAGATTCCGCAGGAAATGAGAACCCAGAGTTTGTGGAACTGCATGAAAGGTGCCCTGTTCCTTTTTCTTCTGCTGCTTGGAAGAAACAATGAAGTGAGTTGGGAAGTTCTGGTTTTTCTTTCTCCTGGTTGATTTTTTCATTTTATTTGCCACTGCAGAGGCCATTTCTGTGATGGCCTCTGTCAGTTGATTCTATTTCAGCAGCAGCAATAGGGCTGTGTTTGAGTGCTGCAAATGTGGCCTGTGTAGCATTAATTCTCCTTGCCTTAGTGCTCAGGGAGTTGGGAGCATTTGGAGATCTGCTACTCATGAGGCCTTTTTAACAAGAAGTCCGAGTTCCCCGTCAGAAAAGCGCAGTGGGTAGCACTGATTGAAAGAGGCAATTGCAGCTGTACTGCTAAAATTCCAGTGGAAAGCAGAAGAGGGGCAAGAGCAACTGGGATCTACACTTGCCAAGGCACCAAACAGCCTCCTGCTGTCACCTCAGGGTGAGTAAAACAGGGCTGAAAACAGCGCTGAAACCGGATCCTTTCTTCCTCTGAGGGCTGGCTGAGGGCAGCAGAGGCGGGCCCTGAGGAAGCCTGAGGGCTGTTTGTGGGGGATTGTTGCTGTAGTCCAGAATTGCCGTGGCAAAAGCCCTGGGAAGCCGAAGCAGGAGCAGGTGGGAAGGGCCGGCGCTGCTGCTGCTCCTGGCCGGGAGCCCCGGCCGGGCCGGGCCGGCGCCCGCTGCGCTGCGGCTGCTGCTGCTGCCAGAGCCGGGCGGGACTCGGGGACAGGGAATGGACACGGGGGGACAGCAAAGGCCTTGGGGGCTGCAGGGATGTTGGTGCTGGGGCCAATGCCAGCACAGAGCTTCAGCCCGCAATGAACCCCGAGGGAAACGCTGGCGAAAGGCTCCATTCAGCCTTTCTTTACTCGGCCCTGTGAAGGGACCGAAATAAAAGGAGAGTGAGCAGGGCCCGACCCCTTCACAGATGAGAGGAGCCCCGCGCCTGGGGCTTTGAGGGGCCCTGAGGAGAAATGAGGGGCCATGTAGGGCCCTGAGTGGTTCAGTGGGTCTGTAAGAGGTTCTATGGGGCCATGAGAGGTTTTATGGGCCATGAGAGGTTCTGTGGGGCCATGAGGGGTTGTGAAGGGCCATGAGGAGCCTCAGCCCTGGCAGGAGAGGGGTCCCACCATGTCCCCAGGGCAGGGCAGCCATGAGGGGCCACAAGTGCAGATGTGGCAGCAGAGCGGGCTTGGGGCAGCTCTGGGAGGGGATGAGACCCTTCCCCAGCTCCAAACCACACGAAATACACCATTAAAAGGATTTTCCATCTTTAGAATCCACTGGCAACTTGGAGTTGAGTGTACAGTTTAATTCTGGTGGGAAAAACAAGGGAATTTTCCCAGTGAGAGACATCCAGCCATTTTTATTCATGTCATGTCTAAGATTTAAAAGTCTTAACAATGAAAAGTAATACTAAAAAATAATAATAAAAACAAGAACAAGAAATAAAGCCCTGAATCCCAACAATCAGCTCAGAAACATGTTTTTGTTTGTAGTAATAGATTAGTACTAAAGAAATAAATGAAAGAGATTTAATTTGTAATTCAGACAAAAGATGTTTCATCTTTTTCCAAGGTTCTGGTCCCCTTCCTCCAGGGTCATTTCCTTTACTCACCTACTTCCTAATAGTTAGGGAGTTAAGCCTGCCAGAAAAAACAACAGCTCCTGTTTCAAAGGGAAGCCACCACTCCAGGGAACCTGAATTGCCCCCAGGCACGTGTGTGCACTTGAAGGGTGAGCGGGTGTTGGGGACAGAGATCTCAAACTCCTTCTAAGGCTGTGAGAAACCCACAAGTGGCAAAGTATCATTGTGGGTCAACTCCAGCTGAAATTCCATTTCCCCACACCGTCCAAATGGGCAGGCAGGGCTGGGCTCTGGCAGGGTTCAGTTTTGAGTGCCTTGTGCTCCCTGGCATGGAAGTGATCCTATGAACTCTGGTATTGATGGATTGTGGAATGGCTGCTGAAGGAGGAGAGGGAATATCAGCAGACAGGAAAGTCTCTTCTTCTCCTTTCTCCCTGCAGAACCCCCTCTCCAAAGAGAAATGCCTGTGCTGGGTTTCCATGGCACCCCTTCCCTCAGGCCAGTGTCTGAGCCACTGAGACACGCGTGGGGCTGAAGGAGAGATGGCAGCTGTCAGTCGGGAGGGCAGAGACCCCGCTTGGGAGTCCATTGCCTTGGACACCCTCAGCCACAGGATGTCCAAGAAGTCACACAAGGCTTTGGCACTCTCAGCCTTCTTTCCCCCAAGTTCCAGCTTTCTGTGCATTTATAGCAGAGAACCTTGCTTGTTTCTAGAGCTAGAGCAAAGATCCCAGATGGAACAAGCCTTGCTGGTTTTAGTCAGAAGCATCAGTGACCAGAAGTTGTACTTCCTTTGGTTTGGTCACATCTTTGTTCCTTCTCAGTGTTAAGGCTGGGTTGTGGGGTGTCCTCAATTGCTGCATTTTCTGAGTTCCTCTTGGATCCTTTGAGAAAAAAATCCCACAAAATTCCAGAAAAATCCCACAAAAGTATTTAAATTTTATCAAAATACCCCAATAATCCAGAAAAATCCCACGAAATTGCAAAAAAAAGCCACAAAAATCCCTAAATCTTTTCAAAACCCTACCAAATTCCAGCAACATCCCACAAAATCTCTGCCAATTTCCACAAGATTCCAGAAAAATCCAACAAAATTCTTGAAAATGCCACCAAAATTCAAAAAACTCCCGCAAAATTCATCAAGTCTCCTCAAAATCCCACAAAATTCCAGAAAATTCTACAACATTCCAAACAAATCCCACAAAATTCCAGAAACATCCACCAAAATCCTTTCATTTTTCTCAAAATCCAAAAAAATTGAATTAAAATCCCTTAAAAATTCAAGGAAAACCCAAAAAAATTCAAGAAAAATCCCACAAATTTTTTTACGTTTTCTCAAAATCCCATAAAATTCCAGAAAAAATCCCACCAAATTTCAGAAACATCCCACAAAATTCCATAAATTGTCTCAAAACCCCTTCAAATTCTAGAAACAACCCACAAAATCTCCACACATTTACACAAAATTCAAAAAAAAAATCCATCAAAATACCACAAAATACCACAAAAATCCCACAAAATTCCAGAATCATCCCACAAAATTCTTTATATTTTCTCAAAATTCCCTAAATCTCCCCAAAACACTACCAAATTCCAGAAACATCCAAAAAAATCTCAACATCCCACTAAATTCCAGAAAAAATCCCACAAAATTCCAGAAACATCCCACAAAATCTCCTCCAATTTCCATAACATTGTGAAAAATCCCACAAAATTCCCTAAATCTCCTCAAAACCCTACCAAATTCCAGAAACATCCCATAAAATTCTTCAAATCCCACAAAATTCAAGAAAAATCCCACAAAATTATTTAAATTTTCTCAAAATCCCACAAAATCTCAGAAATTTCCACAACATTCCAGAAAAATCCCACAAAATTCCCTAAACCTTCTCAAAATCCCACCAAATTCCAGAAACATCCCAAAAAATATCCACAAATTTACACAAAATCTAAGAAAAATCCCTCAAAATTATTCAAGTCTCCTCAAATTTCCACAAAGTTCCAGAAAAAACCATTAAATTCCAGAAAAATCCCATATAATTCCTTAACTCTTCTCAAAACCCTACCAACTTTCAGAAAAATCCCACAAAATCTCATCAATATCCCATTAAATTCCAGAAAAATCCCACAAAATTCCCTAAATCTTCTCAAAACCCTACCAAATTCCAGAAATATCCCACAAAATCTTATCAATATCCCATTAAATTACAGAAAAATCACTCAAAATCCCTCAAAATTCCACAAAAATCCCTCAAAATTCCACAAAAATCCCGCAAAATTCCAGAAAAAAATCCCACAAAATTCCCTAAATCTTCGCAAAACCCTCCCAAATTCCAGAAACACCCCACAAAATCTCCACAAATTTCCACAAAATATAAGAAAAATCTTTCAAAATTCTTCAGGTCTCCTCAAAATACCACCAAATTCCAGAAACATCCCACAAAACCTCCTCCAATTTCCACACAATCTAAGAAAATCCCTCACAATTCTTCATGTCTCCGTAAAATCCCACAAAATTCCAGTAAATTTCAAAGCATTCCAGAAAAAAATCCCACTAAATTCCAGAAGCATCCCACAAAATTCTATAAATTTTCAAGAACTGCCACAGAATTCCACAAAAATACCGCAAAATTCCCTAAATCTTTGCAAAACCCTACCAAATTACAGAAACGTCCCACAAAATCTCAAAAAATTTACATAAAATCTAAAAATCCCTCAAAATTCTTCAAGACTCCTCAAAATCCCTCAAAGTTCCAGAAAAATCCACAAAATTCTTTAAATTATCTCAAAATCCAAGAAAAATGCCACAAAAATCCCACAAAATTCTTTAAATCTTCTCAAAACCCTACCAAATGCCAGAAGCATCCCACAAAATCTCCACAAATTTCCACAAAATCAAAGAAAAGTCCCTCAAAATTCTTCTTGTCTCCTCAAAATCCCTCAAAATTTCACAAAAATCCCACAAAATTCCAGAAACATCCCACAAAATTCTTTAAATTTTCTCAAAATCAAAAAAATCAAGAAAAATCCCATAAAATTATTTAAATTTTCTTAATATCCCAGAAAATGCAAGAAAAATTCCACAAAATTCCTCAAAAGCCCAACAAAATTTTCTCAAAATCCCATAAAATTCTTGAAAACTATACAAAATTTAAGAAAATCCAACAAAATTCTTGAAAAATACCACAGAATTTCCTAAATCTTCTCAAAACCCTACCAAATTCCAGAAACATCCCACAAAATGTCCACAAATTTCTACAAAATGTATGAAAAATCCCTCAAAATTCTTCAATCTCCTCAAAATCCATCAAAATTGCACAAAAATCCCACAAAATTATGGAAACATCCCACAAAATCTCCTCATTATCCCACAAAATTCCACAAAAAATCCACAAAATTCCACAAATATCACACAAATTCTAGTAAAATCTGATGAAATTGTTAGCATTCAGGAGCACACATAATCACAAATTACTATATGCAGGTGCTTTATTAAGAGATCTAGGTGTCAGGGGTACACATACCCAAATCTGATCCCTCTAGGTCTTGAACTGAACATGTTTTATACTCTGTTGTTATATAACTTACATATTAATTATTAAACTTACATTGTTCTATTGTATGCATTGTTTTTACCCAAGCATGGATTTGTTGTGATCCCCCCCCAGCCCCCAAACATTGTTCCTCATGTTCTTTAACCAATAATTATATCTAATCACATCTAACAATTGTATCATTTATCATATATTGATTACACACTTGCAGTTTCACATGATCTTTAGCAAGCAGAAGGCCTAACATTTACCAGGACCTACTCTTCCCAGGCTTGCCAAGCCTAACTTACTTTCTAAATCCCTGAATTTTCTAAGATTTTAAAACCTTTTACTATCAGAGGGACTGTGGAATCCAGTAATTTTGGAGTTGGATTGAGTAGTTTTCAGAGGCATTGAGTGTTTTTGAGGTGACAGGTCAAACTCTCTCATTTCCTTGAGTGCCAAGAAATTGAGACAACTACACCTAATAACCCCCAAAAGCCTCCCATGTACTTCCTTAATCCCAGATTCCCTCGAAGCACTAGTAAAATGTGAGGTTTTAGATGCCTTGGATGAATGTGATGAATTTTACCCCAATTTTGTCTGTTTTAAAGGGATGAAGATGAATCAAAAGATAATTAGGGCCTAATCAAAATAACCACCAGCCCAGTGTGTTCCCAACACAGATCACTGGGAACATGGGTCATCAGGGCTCTGCCCAACGTGGATGGGGGATGGAGCTGAAGCAGCGCACAAAGCTATTCCCACACTTGGGGCACTCGCAGGGCGTCCCTTACCGGTGCCTCTGTTGGTGTTGGGTCAAGTGAGAGCTCACAGCGAAGCTCTTCCCACACTGGGGACACTCGTAGGGCCTCTCCCCCGTGTGGAAGCGATGGTGGGTGATGAGTGTGGAGTTGTGCTTGAAGCTCTTCATGCACTTGGGGCAGCGGAAGGGCCTCTCCTCTGTGTGAATCCGCTGGTGCACAAGGAGATTGGAGCTGCTCCGGAACCTCTTCTCACACTGGGGACACTCGTAGGGCCTCTCCCCAGTGTGGATGCGCCGGTGTCTGATGAGGTGTGTGTTTCGCTTGAAGCCCTTCTTGCAGTCAGGGCAGCGGAAGGGCCTTTCCTCTCTGTGAATCCGCTGGTGCACGAGGAGAATGGAGCTGGTCTGAAACATCTTCCCACACTCGGGACACTTGTAGGGCCTCTCCCCAGTGTGGATCATCTGGTGGATGATAAGTTGGGACCTCCGGCTGAAGCTCTTCCCACATTCCGCACACTCATAGGGCCTCTCCCCAGTGTGGATGCGCTCGTGGGTGACAAGGGTGGAGTTCTGCTTGAAGCCCTTCCTACACACGGGGCAGCGGAAGGGCCTCTCATCCGTATGAATCCGCTGGTGCCTGAGGAGATCTGAGCACTTCTGAAACCTCTTTCCACACTCAGGACACTCGTGGGGCTCCTCCCCTGTGTGGATGCGCTGGTGGGTAACGAGGTCAGAGTTGCAGCTGAAACCTTTCCCACACTCCCCACACTCGTAGGCCCATTCCCCAGTGTGGATCATCTGGTGGCGGATCAGGCGGTTGCTGTGGCTGAAGCTCTTCCCACACTCCAAGCACCTGTAGGGCTTCTCCCCATCCTGAAGCTGCTCATGGACCACCAGCTCAGAGCCCTGGATGGATTTCCGGCCGCCTTCCCGGCACAGGGTGGGTCTTCCCTCCTCAGATCCCCGTGATCTGCGTTCGCAGCCCCTCCTCGTGAGGGATCTCCGGGCCTTTTCCTCCCTGTTTGACTCCGGCACTGTGGAGCTGCTCAAATCAGCCTCTTCCACCAGGTTCTGCTGCAGGGATTTGTCCTCGCTGGTCTCCATCCTCAGCTCCTTGTCTGGGGGAGGAAGGACAAGGAGAGGATGGGATTTGCCTCTGTGCCAGAGGGAAGGGGAAGGAGATCCCCCCAGTGCGTCCCCGGCAGGACGGCGTCGGCAGCGGGGTTGTCCTGCAGCCGGGGGCCGGGCTGGGCTGGGAGATGGAGCAGGAGAGAGGGGGAAAGGGGCACTGACTTTCTCCTCACCTGCCTGGGTGTCCTGGGGCATCTTCCTCTTCCTTGCAGCCTCCTTCTCCATCTGGCCAAGGTCTGGGAATGAGAAATCCTGGTTTGGGGAAAAATACCATTCATGAGCACATTGGATTAGGGGGTTCCTCCTGCTCAAGTCCATCTCTAGAAATCACAAGCAATCCATAAAAACCTCCAAAACACCAAGATTCAGCCCTGAAAATGTCTCCCAGGAGTTCCCCATCTCTGCTCTCTCCCCTTTGCTGTTCAGTGACCCCCCTGGTCCAGATGCTGGGAGTCAT